GTTTGTCATTGCCAGATGAACAGTTTTTTTTTGTACTACAACTTCTCTATTTTTTGAATAATACTAGGTACTTAAAATAATGAATGGAACTATGACTGTAGTTGACTAGACTGTTGTAGTACCATGTAGTTGGGGATATGGACAGTCATCATCATCCTCATCAACAACCAGCCTGAAGTGTCCACTGCTGGACGTAGGCCTCCCTCAAATCTTTCCGCTCTTCTCGGTCCTGTGCCACTTGGATCCAGTTTCCCCTAAATCTCTTTAAGTCATCTGATCTTGTCGGAGGTCTGCCTTTGTTTCTGAGAGCATCCTGTCTTGGCCGCCATTCTAGTATTAGCTTGGTCCATCTATCCTCCGTTCTTCTGGCAATATGCCCAGCCCAGTTCCATTTGAGTTTTTTAAGCAGATATATAGCATCTGTTATTCGTGTACGCTGTTTTATAACTGTACTGGGTATCTTGTCTCTTAGAGATACACCAAGCATTGCTCTTTCCATAGCTCGTTGGGCTACACGGATTTTTTCTATGGACTTTTTCGTCTCTGCGCCATATGTAAGTACTGGCATAACGCACTGATGGAACACCTTCCTCTTTAAGCACATTGGTAGATCTGATTTTAACACATATCTTAGTTTGCCGAATGCTGCCCATGTTAGTCCTATTCTTCTTTGTATCTCGTGTGTCTGGTAATCGCGACCAATTGTTACAGTTTAGGGTTGGAACCTTTGGTGTTACACAGCAAAATAAAACACTAAATCACCACAATACACCAAAACACTTTTACACTTTTTTGTTTCGCTAACCATGTTAGCATCATCAGCAGATGATTATAAACTAAAATACAATCTACAATTGGAGCGTTTATATACTCGCTCAGTGGGCACAGAATGGGCGTGGCAAGATCTAGCCAACCGAGTCAGAACCCACCGAGCGTAACAGTTAGATTTCCGCCAGTAGAGTAGTAGGAACAAAGAACTTGAAGGAATTGGACCGTTGTCTCTGTTCATACTATCTTTACATTTATTAATTCTGATGCTTTCATATGCATCTAATTGCCTGTAATTTGAGACTTGTTTAATTAATTGCAAGTTATTAAGGATCTATACAATGTTCTTTATCAACAATATGTTCGGCAACGCAAGATTTATCCGGTCTACCATATCTTATCTGAGCCAAATGTTCTTTAAATCTAGTTAATATTGATCTTCTAGTTTGCATATTTCTGATTACAATCTTTACAAGAAATTTCATAAATCCCGACCTTTCCAGTAGAGGTGTTTTATCCTTTGGATTACCTAATAATTTAAATTAAAAACAAATTTTAAATTACAACAATATACAGAACATATTGTTGATAAAGAACATTGTATAGATCTTAATAACTTGAAATTAATTAAACAAGTCTCAAATTACAGGCAATTAGTAGCATATGAAAGCATCAGAATTAATAAATGTAAATATAGTATGAACAGAGACAACGGTCCAATTCTTTCAAGTTATTTGTTCCTACTACTCTAGTGACGGAAATCAGCTTGCCACGCCCACTATGTGCCCATTGAGCGAGTATAAAAACGCTCCAATGTAGATTGTATTTTAGTTTATAATCATCTGCTGATGCCGATAACATGGTTAGCGAAACGCGGGTCCAGTGTAAAAGTAAAAGTGTTTTGGTGTATTGTGGTGATTTAGTGTTTTATTTTGCTGACCAATTGTTATTTCGATATTAATAATACTTGTTCTATACTTGCTCCGTCTACCAAGACATTTCTACTAATAACAAGATTGGTTATTAGTTTGGTTTTTGAATAATTTATGCGTAGTCCAATTTGATCTGACGCCCGTTTAAGTGTTTCTAGCATATTTTGTGCTTCGTGTATTTTGTCTGTAATCAGCACCAAGTCATCAGCAAAACGCAAGTTATTGAGCATTTCCCCGTTAACATTAATGCCCATATCCTCCCAGTTTTGTCTTTTGAACATATATTCTAATAGCGATACAGATGCTGTTGCATGGTCGTATATATATTTTAAAAGGTTAGTATAACGGGTATCTATACGACATACGGCTAGGGCCTTGAATAATTTGTGTTGATCGATAGAGTCGAATGCCTTTTCGTAGTCGACAAATATTAAAATGAGGGTTTTATTATACTCAACACATTTTTCTATTAGGGACTTCACCACCAACAGATGGTCATTTGTACCGAAGTACGATCTAAATCCAGCCTGTTCTTTTGGTTGATATTGTTCTAGTTTTAGCGAGAGACGATTTGTGAGGATTTTTGTGAATAATTTGTACGTGTGGCTCAGTAAACTAATAGACCGATAGTTGGTAAGGTTTATTTTGTCCCCTTTTTTATTTAATAGGATTATATTGGCATTATCCCATTCTTATGGCGTTCTTCCTTCGACAAGACATTTGTTGAATAATATTTGCAAAGCCTTGAGAACCTTTTCTCCTCCTTCTTTAATGGGACAGTGGTAGCAGAAAAATAAAGAGAAATTTCACGTCTAAAAGACATTTAACAGTTTTTTTCAATTTTTTTCGATATCATCAAAACTAGATTTTTTCACATGTATGTATACTATTTTTATGATTTTTATCCATTTTTCAAGTACACTAGTTTTTCGAGTACACTAAGTTTCTTGCAAAAAGCGTGACAGTTTTTCTTTGTTTGCCAAAATTTGGAAGAATGGACAAAATGCATTTAGAAAGTCTGCTCCTCAATTATGATAAACGTATGGTAACATATTTAACAAACTTAGCCCTTAGCCCAAACAAAACCAAGAAAAAAACTTCTAAGAAAAATAGTAAAGTCTTTTCTCACTCCGAGTTAAAGTAATCTTTAATTAGGGGGCCCTATACAAAAATATATTGCATTAAATGGGAGTGGGGTTTTGAAAGGGTCAACATATGTATATTTTTCATTTTACTAATTGAAAAATACACTCGCCGGCACCAAAAACGGACACCTTAAAATTTTCATGTATTTTAAATTTAATATATTTTGTTCTAGTGGGCTGATTTTGATGATTTTTAAGCAATTGTAGCTGTGTTATTTGACTTTTTAGTATCTCTTTCTAAATTAAAAATGAAAGTTGCTATCTGTCAATTATACGAGGGGAAACGAAATGTTGATATTTTGGTGAAAGTTGGCAACACCCTGTGGAGTATGTGAACAACGAAAGGAATTTAAAATCACTTAATCATCTAGTTGTATCTTTCCTCAGTAGTTTTTTGATTGATCTCAATATTTTTTTGGAAATATTCGCATAACATTTTCCGTATTATTTACATAAAAACGATGCTCTTGTTTTTGGTCCTAGTCAACAAACCTATAAAATAGTGTTTATGATTTATGTAATGTCACTTTCGTTGAAAAATCATATTATATTATAGTCTGTTAGGCAGTTACTCTAGCAAATATGGTTTTAAGTCCAGGAGTTGATCTCTGCCATGATCAATTAAAGCAGCAACAGCCGATACTTCAGAATTTAATACTATCTCTACTAGAGTAAACGCCAATAAACAATAATAATGAATTTTCAATGACAGTGATATTACAAAAAAATAAAAACACTGTTTTATAAGAAGTGTGGTGATGAGGACCCAAAATCAATGCTAAAATTGCTGTAACTCGTTACTGTTTTCCCAAATGGCACAAATGTGCTTAAAATGGTTATATATAGTGTTATATAACAATTCATGATAAATATGTACTATTTTTTAAGTGCTTTATAAACCCTAATACGATAGTTATAAACACGAAATAGGCGCAGGTTTATAAAACAATATGCTTATTTAGAAGTACGTTAAAAACTCTCCGATTACGCTTACAAAATAATATTGAGTAGGTTACAAAATATTTATAAAACTGTTTTATAAAAGATTTATAAATATTTTAAAAATAACATATTTGTCTCAGTTAAAATATTTTTGTAGCATGCATCTGCATTTTTATTTTTTAGTTATCAAGAATAAAATTATAATATCGTGAATTATATTTATAGTGACCAAGATAAAACTGATTTTAAAATGGTAAAGTACACATATATTCAAAACCTGATTATTTTTTATTCATTTTGCTTATGTTATTTATTTTTTGTTAGCTACCCTTAGACACAAATATGTTTAATATCAAAAATAAAATCTTCTAGTTAGAAATACTTGACATTTTAAGTTTTAGAGATAAAACCACAATTTTAAAATATATTTTAAACTCTGACCACAACCAAAGTTTCCGGTTAGTGCTATAGTATGTTTATAAGGTTTCCTAAATAACGTTTTTGTATTTGGGGGAACACTTTTGTTTTTTAATCGCTTTATAAGAATTTTAATTCGTTTCTTTAACAGCAATTATAAAACTGTTTTCTTAGAGTAGCGGTCGCGGCTAAATTATTGCGAAGACCAAATTGTTTTATAAATCAGTCGTAAAAACAGCTATAAAACATGTCGATAATGTTTTAATAAACTAAAATGCATATTTTTATAACTGTTTTGTAAATATTTTGTAATTGTTTTAAATTATATTATAAATCAATTATAAAATATGTCTAGCTCAAACATAAATAGATGTATAAGATTTGTTATATAAACGTTCCTGAGCATATTAACGAATATATTTATAAAAATGTTTTATAAATTAGTCGCCAAAACATCTATATAACAAAATAATAAAACTCATTTGTCTTTATGATAAATTTGTGTTCTTTGCGTTTATTATATAACAATTCAGTGTATGAGATCGCTTTAATAAATCGTATATAAAACACTTCACTCTCATAATCATTTATTGTGCTACTTGGGTTATTCAAAAGCAAATATGGAGAAAATAGAAGAAGGTACTAAAAATGCAAATAATTTAGTCACAAATTAATTAAAAAATCATTAAAATCGGACTAGAACAAAAATGTTAAGACTTTACTTAGACAACCGAATTTTAACTGATTCCGTATCGATTGCCCATCATACCTAAACGTCATACTTAACCCCGCACAGGATGGAATACCAACTACCCCCCCAACAACCCCAAGTGGCGAACACGCCCGTCGCCCCCGCCTCCGGCCACCCCATTGCCGTGGGGGTGATGCAGGGCACGCTCACGCACGTCCAGGCCGGCCTGCCCAGCTCCAACGGCACGCAGGACGTCCAGGAGGCGCAAAGATGGACGCAGTACCAACAGTTGTGGAGACAGCACGTCTATATCAATGGTATGGCCGATTCTATGACTAGATTTTTCTTGCTGGTGGAGGTGTAGAATTATTGATTTTGTTTATATTTTGTCTTCTAATCTCTTCGGTATAAAGCGCAGGTAACAGTATAATATTATCTGTGGTATAAAAGTACAAGTCGATCATATTTCAAAAAGTATATGTTTTACTATACAGGGTGTCTGAACTGTATTCCGGAAACTTCGGCAGCATATTCTGCAGATAAAAATAAGTAAAAAAGTTCGTATAAATGTATGTCCCTAAAATGCTTAGTTTCGGAGATACAGGGTGTAGAAGTTTCATTTTTATTTCAATTTTTTCCAAATAATTTATGAAGTGATCCTATTTGTGGGGGGCTCTGTTAGGTTAGGCTGTTTTGTTGAAGAGTAATAATTTTTCGTTGGTACTTGTATAAAACTACTGAGTAAAAATATATACATTTAGACGTTTTTTACTTAAAAAAGGTCTCTTGATAAAAATCGCTACGACTAATGGTTCTCGAGATATTTTGAATCGAAATTATCAATACTTGTCAACATTGACATACATTAAACATGTTTGCCAAAGAATATACCTAGCTAGAAATAATGGACTCTGCCATACTAAAAAATGGTCCCTAGAAGCGCCATCTATTGAGTAGGGCTTGTTTTAAATGGAACGAAGCGCGGGCTTTTTATATGAGCGTATTTATTGAATTTTACTCTAAAATAATTAAATTTGCTTATTAAATCTTATTTTTTACACAAATTCAACAATACTAATAACAAGTATCATTGTGATGTGTAAAAAATAAGATTTAACAGTATAATTTATACAATTATTAAATAAAATTAAAGCCAAACCGGTGTAAATATTATTTATAATTTTAAAGTTTTTATTTATAAGTCAAATATTTAAATATCGTTTATTATAATAAAACAAGACCAACGTAATACGCCCAAAGTTTTGTAAATGGAGTAAATATAAATAGGTACTTAAATGATGGCAAAAATAAAAGACTTACATTATATTTTTAGGGCCACAAACAAAACGAATTGTCTAATTAAAACACATATAACAAATTATAGTTTGGTTTGGTTTGGTTTGGTTTGGTTGGTAAAAATTGATAATTATTTGATAATATTATGATTGGCGCTATGAGAACGACAATATTTTTTGAGAATTGACAATAGTATGACAATAGCCGTTGGAAAGTATGGAAACTACAAAAAAAATTCTGATTTAACGCCATCTGGCAATAACTATTAACAACTTCTTAACCTAAAAATTAATTGCACTACCACCTAGCGCCTGAGGCTGGAACTATTTTATTTGAAATTTCCGTGGAAAGGTGGAACCGGTTTTGCTATTTCACTTTCCCGCCCCGACCGTTTTAGAGAAAATTACAAAAAACATGAATATATGGTTGAAATTTTTTAAAGTCCTAAAAATCAAACCGCGTTTTCAATCAAAATCAAAGCCTAGAGTATTTTTAACAATGAGCTTTTGAGTTTAGTAAGTTAACATTATACGAACTAAATTTTTGCGTAAAACGTGCAGTTTTAGTAATATTTTTGAATGAACTGTTAACGTAAATGCGTTCAGAAATAATTGGCTATTTAGCAAGCAGTTAAAAAAGTGTGGAACGTAAATTATGTATATTGTTTTCATTGTTGAGTTTTTTGCATAAATTTATTTCTGATTATTGGCTCCATATATTATTTTAAAAAATATATTTTGCGAAATAGCAGAACTATTTTGAAAATACTAGTATATTTATAATAAGAAAATGTAAAGCAGACTAATATCGGTACATATCCAAGGAAAATATCAAAAAAACTATCGTTTTTGAGCTTTCAGTCAAAATTCTAGTTAGATGAGGTTGAATTCGAACTAAATAAACAAATCCTTTGTAAACGTAAGCTTATATTCTACTAGCCAGTAAATAATTGTTAGTTTTAATGTAAAATTTCTATCTAGCAACAGTTAGTGTCCGACTGAAACAATATTTTTGAGGCCTAAAAATATTGTTACAAAAACCATAAAAAGTGATGTTTTTGTAGTAAAATTAAAGTCAAACATTATTATTATGATAAAATCTTTAAAACACATATTAACCATTCAATTTTCGGACAAAAGACAAAAAAATTGGCACCGGGAGGCACGTATAGCCGCCCATACTAAAATATGTTAATATCTCGAAAACTGCGACTTTGACTGATTTTGATGTTATTACAAATTTTGTTGCAAATATTATTCCTAATCTTAATTTGAAAACCGCGTTTCGCTAGCTACTGTAATTTTGGAGTTACGATTTTTTAAAATTTTTAACCCCCTCCCACACCCCCTTACCAACCCCCCACCCCCACCAAAAACTAATGGCCAGATTCTCGGGTGCGACAGTATTTTTGTGCCAAATTTGGTTAAAATCGGATCAGCGGTTTTTGAGTTATCGTGTTATAGACTGACAGACGGACAGACAGACAGACAGACACCATGAAAATATTAAGGACGCGCCGACCCATTCACACGGCGTGTGGCGCGTATTTTTTGTTGCAGGCTCGGCGATCCACGCGCCGTGTAACTGCATATATACCCGGCCGTGGCCCGAAGATCGGCCTGCCGACCCAATCACACGGAGCGCGTCGTGAAATTTTTTGTTGCAGGCTCGGCGATCCACGCGCCGTGTAACGGCATCTTTATAACTATTAACGGTAAAGGAGTATCTATAATAGTTTATAATACTCATCGATGAATAACATCATTTGAGGTTCCAAGACGTTTTTTGATTTGTTTTCTATTTAACTATATGATAATTCACATCCTATATGAATGGTATGGATTATGAAACATCAAAATCTAGTTTTTACTATAGTTTTATTTATGACTATAAGTAAATGTTCATAAAATGGAACGAACTACTAAAAGTAACATTATACGTATATGTATCTTTAATACTCATCAGTGAATAAGATCATTTGATGCTTAAAAGCGGTTCTTTTTACACTTTCAGTTTCTTTTAAGTAAATGGCAAGGGAAGAAACTTTCTCTTTTAAAATTATACGAATGGAATAAAGAGCTGGTATTATTATCGACGCTTCCTGGGCAATTACTTTTTTAATACCAATTTTTATAAGCAGTACTTAAACGGTTGATATATTACTCGTTTTGATAGCCATTTGACTAACACAAAATGTTTATATCTAATTTCCAATTTTCTATTATTTTATTCTTTGAGAGTTTCTTTATTCTTCTCTTCGTTGTATATTTTGTGTTTGTTGGCATTAAAAAGTGCGTCAATTATTTTACTCATTGAACTTATATGGAATTATTACTCTGGGATTGGGATATTCTTTATACCGTGCTGGCAACTGTTACTCTTGGGTCGGTATTTACATGTGTGGAAGTAAATCGCATAGGGATCTTATTAAGTCGGAGTGAGAGAAATGCGACGGAGTGCTGTTGCGGCGTTGCCGGCACGCCTTTCCCTATCAAGTAAAGCAAAATCACGATCGCAAACCGCTTATTTTTAATAGACTTTTTTTTCGAAAAGATAACTAGATAAAATCATTAGAAATGTTTCTGAGCATCTGAAATGGAATTATAAGGATATCTTTAAGGTGTCATTTTTTATAACGAGAAAACGTCAGTAATCGCGATAATTTAAACTTTTTAACACATAACACGCCATAACTCGAGAAACACTTTAGATATTGAAACAATGTAATTATTATGTCTTTATTTTCGAGGAAATTTAGTCCAAACTAAGGAATATTTTGCTCGTTTGGTTTGGTTTGGTTTGGTTTGGCCATCAAAATCTTAAAATTAAAGAAGTTGTCTAGAAATGTGCTACAGTACGGATATAGTATAATCTTTTATCTTTCATTTACTTCTTCATTTGTGTAAAAATAGCTAGCCAGTTTTACACAAAACGTTAAATGCCGAACGCTTATTTTGCTACTTTTTCGGACTATGAGGACCCTTTTAAGCAATTACTGCTAAATAGTATTTTCTTGAAATTATAAAACAACTTTGAATAACAGAGCACTCATTAGTTATAAGATAAATAGAAAAAAATAATTTTTGCCTAGATTTAGCAAATTAGGTGATAACTTTCAAGGGGAAACATTGCAACCAGGCTTCTTACCAGCTGTGTGTCCGCTAAGATTAATATTACTCGAGACTTACTGAAAAGTATGTTTTGGCAACTGCAAAGAAGATTTTATTCCAAGTAACATACAGATCAAGTGACGCAGTTTCTAACATTGACCTTGGATTTTTTCTGTTATTTTTAAGCCGTCGACATCTGTTAACATCTAAAACAATTTACACGGAGATAGTGCCAGAATGTTTCCTATCACTAGATGAAACATTAAATTATTTAAATGTTATTTATAAATAAAATGCTTTCAGTTCAAACATAATATAAATAAATAAAAATGTATGTAAAACATTCATGTATACAATGAAGGATTCTCGATATTACTGAGATGTTAAATAAAAGATGTAGTCAACCACAGACAGTATTTTTTCAATAGGAATGTAGACAAGGTAGACAAGGTATTGGGATTACCGCTAGATGCAGCAACTACAAGGTATAGCTTTAAAAACAAATTTAACATAACTATACCAGGAAGGGAAGACTGGATAAAACGTGTATCCATTCAAGCTGAGGCAACCTGGTATACAGCCGACTCAAGAACGTCAAGGCATGGGATCTGGAATAGAAGGGCCGAAACAAGGAATATCTTTCCACGTAAGCCTATCTAAGGATGTTAACAACCTACTATTGACGATAGCCAAGCAGCCCTCGGTTTCACCGAAGGTTTCAGGGAGGTCAGGTTATAGACTAGTGTGGGATTTTGTGTGTGTGCTTTAAATACTTTGGGTGAGCGTAGCAACGTTACGTTAGCCTGGACATCAGGGCACGAGAATCATCGCAAGGGTTGCATAAGACAACAGAAATGGCTCAGCAAGGTTCATTAATGCCATTCATAAGTCCAGAACTTTTCTGCGGCGTT